CGCATAAAGCATCTGAATCAACACTGCAGGTCTCCTGGTTAAATTTCCGCTTGTTGTGGTGCGGATTGAACTCCTGGCCTTCTGCGGCTCGTCCTTGCTACATAGGACGGAAAAGAAGCCCAATTAATGCAACAGTGTCGACGCCCAAACACTTAAGCTTTGATACTCTCAGCATCCCTACCTTTGGCAGGGCGGAGGGTATCAAGCACCCGGAGCTGGCAACTCAGAGTGCCCACGTCCACGCTTTCTGTGTGCCTGCTTTCGTGGTGTGAAGCCCCAAGTTGGGTCCTGGTGCACGAGTTCTGTGTTTCCACGGGGCTTGGTTCTTGGGGTGATTTGCCGCATGTTCCCCCCAGCCTCGAGATGAGATTGCCGAGCCAAGGCCTATGCCGGTCAACAGCCGGGACCGGGTGCCGGTGGCAAGGTGCCTCGCAGAGCGCACAGGGCCTGCATAAACCCAACACGGCCAGTTTATGTTTTGTCTTGATTGAAGATTTCAGGATTGGGGGTTGCACAGGCTGTCACGTCCTCAGCAGAAAGTACAGGCTCGCAAGGGTCAGGGGTGCAGGGTGCTGTAGTTGTCTCCCTGCCAGGGCAGCTATGGCAACATGCCCCAGAACGACCAGCAGCGCCACGAACTGCAAGCGCAGAACCGACGGCAACACGAGCAGCGGCGCCTTTGCGGCTTAGTGGTTCAGGAGTAGTTAGTTGAGGGGTGCTGCTTGAACTTTCGGGGTTGCAGGGCTTAACCATCGTGATGGTCCAGAAGGTTTTCAGGGATTTCGGAATCGGAATTTGTGCTAGTGCACGAATGAAGGCGTAAGGGCCTGGTCTGGAGTCAGAATTCGACGAGGTTTGGCAGGGATGTGCGGGCAGACCTCGTCGGGCTGGGTTTGGAGGAGTCGTGGACTTTTACTGCAAGGCAGGGTCATGTCGTAGGTGGATTTAAGTTAAGAGCGTCGAAACAAGCCAAGGCGCGCAATGCAGCGGCGGGAGGAGGAGATGCGACAGCAGCAGCAGGCGCGCCGCTGCAGCTGCATTTTTTTCAAGCGGGGCCGGCACCCGTCCGTGCCTAAACGGGGTCGAAAAACGACGGTTGGCAACACAAATTACAAGTAGCCACGAGAGGTCAGACAGGCTTGACCATCGACGTCGTACCCGCCGTCTCGACAACGGATCCACACACTCGCCCTCTACGACACCACATGGCCGCTCCATGAAGCCTGCTCGAAAACACAACTTAGCTCCCGTCCTTTGTGCAGTGACAGGTACTTGGCAAATCCAAAGCCTGAGTTGCACCGCAGCTATCGCTGCCAGGAACAAGAAGGATCGTAGATCCTACAGAAGAATCTAGGATAGGCGAGGTGTTGTGGCTGGGGTTGATGGTTTGATGTTGGTGCCGAAGCAAGCAATATCTGGTTGATGATAATAGGATATGTCCCCCCCCCCCAGCTTGTGGTGGTGTTGCGCGGATCCAGGCGGAGGCCATGCGCAAAGCCGCGGAACAAAAGATGCAAATGGAGGACCTTCGCAGAAGGGTTCCGAGACGGAGAGTTCATGGCTCTTCAGAAGGAGGGGATCATACGGCGCCGTAAGCCTTCTGCCATCATCGGAGCAACAGAACAAACACCAGAGGCTGCGTATCCTGTCGCTTGCGATGCGGGAGCCAGAAAATCGTGGAGGTTCATGGCATCTTTCTGCAAGCAATGCGGTGCTGAGTTCATTGGCACCGGAATGGCAATCCTAGGCATAGCGTGTGTCCCTTAGTCTTCGAAGTTATGTGATGAATCTCGAGAACCTAGCCGGACCTAACCGTTTCAACGAGGAGGAGCAGCGCCGTGTCGCCGAGCAGAAACGGAAGGAGCAGGCCGGACCTCGACGCGAAAGGATGCAGAGTTGCCGCCTAAACGGGAAGCTTGATATTATAAAGGCCCACACCCCGCTTGAAACCTGCCTCAAAGGTTGCACACCGTGCCTAGCCGATGTTGACACGACCCTAGCGGTGGATGCGATACCTGAAGCTGCCACAGAAGCGATCAACGTTTGAGTGAAGAGCCGACACCTCCTCGCCCTTCCCCAGGAGGCGTGTAGCTCAATCCGGGCCGTTTGCCAGAGGATGCGCATGGTGCAGGAGAGCTGTCAGATCGGAGTCTTTGGGGCAATCTCTTAAAGCGGGGGCTGACGCCCTCGATTCAAGTTGGGTTACCCTGTCTTGGGGAGATCGCGAGAGCTCGGAGAGCTATGCTTCGACAAGTCTCACAGTGCTCGTGCCATGCCCAGTGAGCCAATGAATCCAACCTCAAGCAAGCCCTGATCCCACTCGCTCAGCCGGAACGCCGAGCCCCTAGCCCGAGAAGCTAGAGCATTGTGACTTTGCCAGGAGGAGTCCTTCCCGCAGCTTCAGCAGGCCCGGTTGTCTTCTGGCCTTCCCACGTTCCTCCATCGGCGCACCATTTGGGCACTTTTGAGACTCAGGTTTGAGCTTGGGTTGTGGACTTTGAACTTGGAGTTTGGGGTTTGGTCTCAAGACGGGTTTCGGCCTCAATCGTATCGACTCTACTGCACCAACCCAGTTCACTGCGATTCTATGCCTCTTGCAGCCTTTTAGCGACCACTTTGACAAGTTCCCAGGCATGTCTTACAACGCAAGTATCAGAGAAAGAGATCTCTGTGCCAGGAGCTGTACGACGTGATGCAGTGCCTCGTCTGCAGACTGAGGGTAGCCTTTGTCTGATAGCCCTGTGGTTTTTTTCCAGCTGACATCGACGGACTTTCTGGAACAGGAGGGAGTTGAACAACTGTGGCATGCAGATGGCCAAGATCCGCGAGGCAGGTGCCAGTTCACATGCAGAGGGTCAGGTTAAATCGCCCGCATAACTGTTGTCTCAAGCCTTGACTCTCGCACTTTCAGGGTCATGACCTGCTGCACCTGTCACACCCAGAAATTGTGGCAGAGACAGCCGAAAGAGTTCTTCAATCCCATGCAGTACAGGAGTGCGACCAAATCGTGGACCAGGCCCGACGTCGACTGCAGGCCGACCTTGCGGGGTTGGGCTGCGGGTTCCGGACGTCCCAGATTTGCATCGCACGGGTGTGAAGCGGAAGACAGCACCTAAAGCGTGCATCCCAAGACATCCGAATCCTGAACACTTCCGAGTCTAAGCGCCAAAAATCCCAACCTCCAACTGGCCCAGACGTAAACTTAAAAGGCTACATTGTGGACTCCCAGATTACACCTAACATACAAACTTGATGTTCAGCTTGCAAAGGAAGCTGCAGAAGTGAAGGCCTTCCAGGAGAAGAAGAAGGCCCGGCAGCGGAACGTAATATGCTTTCTTGATCTCTTGGGTTGCCAGGCCGAGATGCTGGAAGCTCACAAAGTTGCGTGCGCAAAGGCGGAGCAACTCGCTCGGGGCCCCGGGCGCAAGGACCTGTCTTGAGCTTCGGATCTGGGTTTCTGGGCTTGTTTGGGATTCGTATTTGCGTTTCCGTGGAGTATGTGCTCGTACATCGTACGTCAGACTTACGTTTTGTCGCATGTTTGCCGGTGTGGGCAGTGGGCACGACGCTCGACCGTTGAAGAAGCCAGTATGGTTTTTGTCTCGAGTTTCTTACACAGAGATTCCCACAGTTTGACTTTAGTTACTCACGGCCCCCGTGTCGTCTTCTTGGCTTCTTCCAGGTCGCGGATTTCACGGCGAAGGCGCGTTGCCTAGTGACTTGGTGTGTTGGCACATACAGTACCCGTGCGGTTATAAACAAATGTGGCTTAGATCGGCAATCCTCTGCACCATATCTCTCTTGGGCTCTGCACCCAAGCTAACGGTTGTAGCGTCGGTGGAAGACGGAACTAGAATCTAGGGCCCGGAACTGAACTCGATAAGCCTACGGGGTGCATGCAGAGAGAGTATGCCATCTGGACCGCATGAGTTCACGGTAGTTCTTGCATGCGGAGATTGGGAGCCTTGATTTTGCCCCGCTGGCTTCCACACAGTTCCCATGCCCATCTAGCAGCCTCGTCTGGAGAGCCCGAGTTGCGACAGTCTCTTGAGCCTTCAACACCCCGGCTGGCCTTGCTTTGCACCTGGTTCAAGGCTTTACAGAGCAGTTAAGCGGTCTGAAGCCCCAGAAGGCAGAAGGCGCAAAGCATTAGAGACCTTTCAAGCCACCTTGCAACCTGAAGTTCGAAACCTGTGTCCCTCCAGGTGGAAGCCGCTGAGGAAGCTGTCGGGCACACGGTGATTCAGGGCCTGAAAGGAACTGTCTTGGCTTGCGAAGCAAGTTGAAGTCTTTAGCTCAGAGCATCAGCCCCAAATCAACGGGTGTAACGGTGTAACTAGCCAGTGTACACTTCAACTGGAAGCATACCCAAATCACCCAAACCAAACGGGCACGAAGATAGATTTTTTTCATGAGCTTCAGTTCCAGATTCCAGACATTATAGTCATTATCGTATGCTGTACTATGTTCTAGTGATTCTAGTGTGTCATGGGATATTTATGGGGTACAGTAGTCTATTCTAGCAGCTTCGTGTGCGGGTAGTTTCTATTCGGCGCTCGAGGCGAATGCCTTGGTCGAGAAGGCAGAGCCGCAAGGGCCCCAGTCTAGGGTCCGGAGAGCTCGGGATTCAAACGGCTATCCGGCTACCCTTGTAGAGCTGCAGTGGGTCCTTGCTTGGCCTGATTGTTTCGACGAGATTCCTCCTCTACATTGTCCTGGGAAGGCTTGGGTTGAGGTTTGGTGTTCTGGCTTCTGTGTGCATCGGCCTCCGTGGGTCTCGGACTTGGCGATCTCATAACAAGCGGGAGTTCCATTGCTATCGTTTGCGCGAGGTAGGTTCCAAGCTTGTCCCCACCCCTGGCAGTGTCAGGGCGTTCGCAGGTCTAGATTCGGCCGAAAGACTCGTGCTGGAGTTGGTCGCATGGTGTCGTAGCAAAGTGTAGTACTAAGGCACTAAGGTTAGCAGTTTGGTGTGGTGTGGTGTGGTGTGGGGTGTTCTGTTCTGTTCATTCTGATCTGCTCTGGTCTATCTACCGATCGATGGATAGGTCGGTAGATGGATAAATGGACAGGGACCCTGCTTCTGTGCTTTGTCAGGTTCACCTCTGATGAGAGCGTGATGAACTTGGGGTCAGAGGACAAGATTCTGGAGGAGGCCAGCAAAATCGACGAGGCCCTGGTATGGGCTTCGGCATGTGGGCTATTGCAGTCCCGGTTTCAGGCGCCTTTTGGGTTCTTGTGCTTGAGAGATCTGTAAGGGTTCGGAGAACCAGCGCCAAATAATTAGATGGAGTTCACACGAGATTAATGCGGCTTCTGGGTAGGAAGCTTGCTGGCGATGCAAAACTGCTGATCTGTAGCTGCAGGAGTGAGTTTGAAGCCGATTCCAACACCCCAACACCCTGGCGTAGTTGCAGGCCAGGGATGAAGCGGCAGCGCGAACCGCTGAGTGCCCGGTGCCCCGCAATCTCCGCTGTTGCCTTGAGAAGCTAGGGAGCATGGGAGCCGAACGGGGAGTTCAAAAAACGACGCTTTTTAGAGGATACAAAGAACTCAAGATGCGCCGAGCTGATGTTTTGCAAGGTAGGAGGCGTTGGTCTGACATCGCTTTCGTGGGTGTGCGGCAGTGCTTTGAATGCATGCCTGGTGTCTGTCCTAGACCTGGATGCAAAACGGGGGCCAGGGTTTCAACCACGAACGGCTTGTGACAAAGGCCAAGAGTACCTGAAGGAGAACCGTTCGGCGATGACAATCCAGGATATGCATTGCCCTCAGATTCCGGCTTACCTTGGACCGGGTTTTCCTGTCCAACAAAAGACCTCACCCTGTGACCCAAAGCTAACCTGAGCATGCAGTGTGCGGCTTCTCTTTCGTCTCCCTCAAGATGATGGCCTCCGGCTTCAATAGAGTAGAGCTGGCAAATACGAAGTCCCCTTGGCAACGTTAAAGCTCCGGCACCAGCTGCAGAAAGCTCCACCTGTCAAACAGGCCTGGCCAGCCGCCGGCTGAGGTGAAGCAGGCTACCTCCGAAATCTGAACCCCAAACCCGAAAAATCGACGAAAGGTCTACAGAGTTGCTGGCTTCCGTTCAGGGTTTCAGGTACGCGGTTAAGTGCTCGGATTCAGGGTTCCGACGTGCATCTCTGCTAGATTCAGACGTGCCATATTCGTGGTGTGGGTTTGCAGCGCCTTTCCGGGTTTTCGGCATTGCTGGCACTATCCAAACCCTCAAAAAGCTCAAGTGCCCATATTTGGTCCAGTCACTAGTGATCTCTAGGCTTTCCGTGCTCGTGCCCGAGGATATGAAAGGGTCAGGGTTGGAGTTCGGAAACTCAGCGACAGTTGTTTGAGCATCCTTCAAGCTCAACCCATCAATCCGTCAACGTCTACATCTCACCATCGGCTCATGCATGTAGCTGTTGTCTGGATAACAAGCCGAAGATTCAGTCCTGAGACATGGCCCCTAAGGTGTACGCCGGAGTCGGCTATGTTACCTGGAGCTTCTTCCAGGTTTTGCTTTCTCTTCAGGCCCCCGAGGAGGCTTTGGATGCTGGAAAACGTTGGGACTGGCAGATCAGGGGGGCGCACTATGCTGCACAAGTGAAGGGCACCGAGGTCTTTGCTGATGAAGCTGACGATCTGCAAAGGGCCGTGCTTGCATACAGGATGCGAGAAGAGCGGGCACTGGAGGTTATGCAGAAGATCCGTCGCGGCGAAGAGCGCAGTGCCGCATGGCTTCCATCCATGAAGAGTGTGAAACTCAAGGAAAAGGTCTTCGAGGATCGAGGGGCAGCTTTGGCCGTGTATACAGGTCATGACGCCAGCATTGCTGTAAGCCAAGATGGTCGAGTCCTATGTGTTCTGGAAATCGAGCGGCTGCTAGGAGTTCGCTACGCTCGCCTTAAGGGTCAGGGGTCGGAATTCTGGGAACAGATTTTCCGTGCCATTTCTACTGTGAGGGACCATTGTCCGGGAGGGTTTCCGCAGCATTTCAAGCATATTATGGTGGCAGATCATGTGAGTTACTGGCAGTTGTTTACGGTCATTCCATTGATTGTGGAAGAATACTTCCCGGTGGAGAAGTGGCACTGGGTGGATCATCACGAAGCGCATGCCTTAATGGCTTACCACAGCTCACCTTTCCGCACTGCCCTGATCGTGACCTACGATGGAGGTGGAAACGATGGCTCATTCAATGCCTATGTTGGAAGGGCTGTGGGTGATGGGAAAGTGGAGCGAATTGCGCAGCTCGACTATAACTTAGGTGAAATGTACAACTTTCTCGGCGGCCTGCTGCCAGAAGTTTCAGGTCTCGACACGACGCAGATATGTGATCTTTGGCGTCTTGGCCAGCCCGTGCTTCTGGACCAGGTAAGACAGCCCGAACTCGGCACGGCAGGGAAACTAATGGGGTACGCTGCTGTCGCTCCTGCGGACGACAAACTAACCAGTGTCTTGGAGGAGCTTTTTGAGGGGTCTGGCTGCGTGCATGGTCATGCTTCAGATGCTTTCGGATATTTCCCATTTCAGGCCCGTGCCGCTAGTTGGAAGGACCTCAGCTTTGTGAATGCAACTCTGCCTGTTTCCGTGTTAGAAGCCGCATGCACTTCTCCAGAATCACAACGCATCCTCGGTGCCTCCATCGAAAAAGCCTTCGAATCGATTGCTTTTGGCATCGTTTGGTCCCTCTTGCGACACGTTGGCCTGGACAAGGTCGAAGGTTTGGCTTTGAGCGGTGGGTGTGCTTTGAGTATCCGCACGAATCAACTACTCCACGATCGCCTCAATGAGATAGGTTTGGGTTTTTTTGTGCCGCCGGCGCCCAATGATTGTGGGCTATCAGTCGGAGGACTCTACAGAGTTACTCCGCCATGGGTTCGTCAGCCCTTACAATATCTGGGCTTTGAGCTGTGGGACAAATTGAATTTGGGGGAGCTTGCGCGAAAACGTGGTGCAGTGAAGCTATCAGAATTAGGCGGCATTGAGTACTTGGCTGCACTTCTAACCGGGACAGTAGACTCAGCAAGGTTACCTTCTAAAAACGGCACGGTGCAGAGGCATCCCATAGTTGCGATCGTACGTGGGAGGCAGGAGTTTGGCCCCAGGGCCCTGGGCCATCGATCTCTGCTCGCAGTAGTCACAGACGATCAGATGCCAAAAAGGATGAACCGGCTGAAAGTCAGAGAGTGGTATCGCCCTGTTGCACCTATGATCGCCGAGGAAGCCTTGACAGAAGTCTTTGGTCGCATTGTTCCGTCGCCATACATGACCCTGGCCCCCGTGGTGAAGCCGGAAATTCGAAAGCGCTTCCCGGCTCTCGCCCACTTTGATGGGACTGCGCGGCACCAATCTGTGTCAAAGGAGGATGAGCCATGGATTCATGCCTTGCTGACGGCCGTTGGAAGGTTAGCAGGACTGGCGGCACTAATCAACACGAGCTTCAACACCAAGGGCAAGCCCATCGTGAACACAGCCAGGGAGTGTCTGCAAATGCTGGACCGGCTGCCGGATTTAGATTTCGTGCTCATTGAAGACTGGCTGTTCCATAGACGGCTGACGCGGGTGGCTAAATCCGGACGCTTGACTTGCCCTAAAGTCCTAAAGCCGCGAGCCAGCGAATGCAGGATCTGAAACCCGAGCAAACAAGACTTCCTTAATCTTGTGAAGTTCATTGCTTGGAGAATTGAACAGAGAAGGCCCCCTTCACAAGGGGGTCTAGCAGATAGTTTCAGGGAGGCTCAGCCCCGAAGCCCAGACCCCGACAATACAGTCAAGCTCGTGCCTGCAGGTTCTCGCGAAGGTCATAGACAGGCTGACGGAGACAGCCAAAAAGAAGGCAGCTGGCCGTTCGCACGATCTCTAGGAATAAGCAGCCCTCTCTCCATGCTCGCCTCCCGAAGCCGGGCTCCAGACAGCCCTGAACTATCCAGGAAGGGCAAGGAGCCTCACCTCTGATCGGTTTCTGCGCTTGCCTACATTTGTTTGGGGCGGTTTCGGATGGCAACATCTCCAGAGTCCCCGCCCTAGAAAGGTTCCTCAAGTCAGCAGCCAGAAGCCTGTTGCTCCACCATCGTTTGGCAGCCGTCCTTGAAAACCCAAGCAAGCAAGAGAACAGCTCGACTCGATAGTTCAAGCCAGGACGGTGTGATGGTGAAGATCATGGTCGTCAAGAGCAAAGCCATGAGGAGGAGCAAGGCCGGCAGACAACAACCGCCCAACAGCGTCAATCCCCTAAAAGAATCCCGGACACTTCAAGTTCGAAAAAAATTACATTGTTTTTGGTACGTTCTATAAATCGGATATTTACAGTGTGCTGGGTCCAAAAGGTCGCACCATGCACCCTGCTGGGCTCTTCAGCAGGGGGTTTCGTGTGCCACTGGCCTTATCTTGACTTTGTGATGTAGTGACAAGGCCCAGGCAACACGCCGACTTAGGTCCGAGGGCTTTCGAGAATTTGGGATGAGTCAATGAGGGTCGGTTGCTCAGGTTTGGTATGACCTCTACGAACCCCAACTGGAAGCTTTAAGAGCCCAACTTTAGAAGGACAAAGCACTCCTTCGAGCCCGACCCCGGCAGGCGAAGAAAACTCTAGAGGACCGGAAGGCCAAGTTCACCAAATATGCCAAGGACTTGCTAATGCCAGGTTTAGGAGTTTAGGGTTTCGAGTTCAGTGAAAAGAGTTCAGTGATTGACATTCGTCCTACATGCGTTTATGCATTTAAATTGGTTGTCTTTGTCCTTGCGCGTAATTTGATATTGCTATTGATTTGGCGCGGCAGGCTGGAGCCTTTGATCCAAGAGCTTTATTCTTCAATCACCGGTTGCAAACAGCGTCTGGTAGGAGGAAGGGCGTGGAAAGGCATTCCATGAATACTCTGGGCTGTTGCGATGCCTCCGGTAGGAGGACGTGCTCTGAGAAGCATTCAATGAATATTCTGGGCATCTGTGGTACCATGTATAGATATCTCAGAATCCCAAAGCAAGCCCTTGCATCCGGTTGACCACCCTGCTTGCCTAACGAATTTGGCGAGGACGGCGTCCTTGACAAGAAGCAGGTTACAGCCTACTGCAAGAAGGATGGCGGACGGTGTTTCGGGCTTAGGGCTTAGGGTTGACATCTAGCCACTGCCTGGCTATTCAATTATACATTTGTCTTTTGTCTGTCAGAGAGCAGCTAGACTTCAAGGCAACATGCAGTTGAGATGTTAGGCCGCTGAGTGTGGAGTGCCGATGCATCCGTGAGGGCTAGGACATGCGCCTGAGCTATTAGCTGGCAGTGGGTTCCAAACGCCCAAGGTCACACTCAGCAGTTTGTGCTGCTTTGCTCTTGCTTCCGAGCTAAACTTCCTCGGTTGCACCTTTCCGATATGTGACAGTCTATCACCCACTCTGAGTGCGACGCCCGTTTCGTAAACCCGCCTAGAAAGCCTTCAGCTCGAAACTACACTTGCGCATACAGGTTAATTAGCCGGTTTTGGCCCACTACAGGGCCGTGACCTTCTACTCCTAGCCCGTGGGCAGCCATTGGCTTGTTGAAAGGAAACCCTTCTGGGAGGGCCCACCCAACTTGCAACAGAGCTCCAAACGCTATCACGATGAACTACCTCGTGGCAAGATTTACTACCAACAGCCTTCCCGCTGTTGTGCATGCTTGTGATACCCCAAGTCCCGAAGTGTCCGCACTGCCGGTCACTACCGCTGTGTGAACGCTTTCTATGCGTCCTCTTGGTCATGATCTTTCTTGTTGCCTTTTCCACTGTCGCTGCCGGGAAGCAGGAGTTTAACCTTGCCCTCAAGGAAGACGCGGTCGCCAGGATCTTCAAGGTGCATCCTCTGAACCCCAGCCCAGTAATCCGAATTCCGTTGTTGGAAAAACGAGCCACCAGGTTCCTGCACCGGGATTGCCGGCACGGATTGACAAGTGCATTCAACGACTTGGGGTCTGCAGCTCTTGAGCCAACCGAAGATGCTCGACCAGCATCGTCCTTCGGATTCCAGCAAGAAGGACATTATCCAAAACAGCAGTCGACACCCCCAGATACACTTCGCGACTGATTCAACGAAAGGTTGGGAAGACGACCTACTAAGTCCTGCCCAGTCAGCCCCGAGTTTTGGCTCTTGCTCTGCTTAGTAGTAGTAGTAGTAGTAGTAGTAGTTGTTGTTGTTCTTGTTGTTGTTGTTCTTGTTGTTGTTGTTGTTGTTGCTGCTGCTAAGCCTCTCGGCTCAGGCGAGG